TTTAAAGATGAAGAATACATCTAGTGGAAAACATTTTAATCCATTAGCGTATGACCAGAACAGCGGCGGTTAACTCTCACACAGCACGCACTAGCGCATATCTCCAGGCTCAGTCGGCCATCAAAGGCCGATGCACACTAATTAAAAACAGTCATTTGTGTAATGAATTGTGTAATATCTTGAGCACACTAAAGCACATTGAAATGACATCAGGATAAGATTAAAAGGAAAAAACCGACAGATTGGGCTCAGTCAACAGCAGTTGACAGCTGCTCAAATGTGATGATTTTCTGAGCTTGAGCCACACTGAGGGAGGTTTTTCCACCAAAGTGTCAACTCTGACACTTGATCAAACCCTTTATCCTTTTTATATCCATTTTTTTTTTTTTAAGTAAGCTCCCCCCCACCCAAAAAAAATCCATAATTTTTAAAGGCCAGTAGGGCTGGGCCATATGTTAGCTTGTGCAACCAAAGCACAATTTTTTGTAGAACATGCTGCAAGCGGGCCGTCGTGGCGAAGGGAGGAAACACCGCAAACTAGGGCTGTGCGATATGACCAAAATCTCATATTCTGATATAAGACATCTATCATCCCGATAACGATATAAATCACAAAAATTTAACATTTTCTGTAAATTCTGCAAATCTCGCTTAGCTAAAGTGTTTCCAGCTGAGCGTCGTGTACCTGGAGTCGAGTGTTGTAATCGATGTATGAAAGGAGAGATTTTTAGACACAAGTTGTAACGGCCGCCGTTTTCTTTGTGAGTATTTATTACATGGCGTGCTGCGGGGAACAACCTGTTCTAACGTTTGAGTCTAAGGTTTATTTTTTAGCACCTGGCGGCTCTTTTTTGCTTCTCATCCGTAAATAATCTGCTCTTTCACGGGATTCAGTTTATTTTGAAAAGTCTCAACAGGATCTTGAGCTTTATTGTGAAAGGTTTATGTAGAAAATAAACAAGCAGACACGCGATGGTTTTACCGTCGTTGTTGCTAACGACAACGCATAAAAACAGGCGCTTGTCCGTCCGTAGTATGGTTATATTAAATATAAGAGAACGAGAGAACTTTAAGAGATGAATATAGACACTACAGTGACCATCAAAACGATGAAAAAATATTGCCGTAAACAGTTTATTTTGCGACACCATGAAACAAACGCTAGCGTAAAATGAAACAATAGATGTTTTTATATAGTCATCCCATATATAACGTTATATCGAACAGCTCTACCGCAAACCTATTTCATCTAGTGCTGTCAGCGTTAATCTCGGTAAAATGACGTTAATGCCATAACTGCATTAACGCGGCAAATCTCCGTTAATGAGTTACCGCGGATTGCCCCGTGCTTGGGGCTGGACAGCGTTAACGAGCTAACCGCACTAATGTGTTTGAAGCAGAAGCAGTTGTTGGAGTACAACAAAGCAGTTAAAGCACCTGAAGAGGCGTCCGCTTCAACTAGCGTGGTGGTGAGGCCAAAGAACAGCTGCTTGCTTAAGTGAAAATAAATTGATTTTTTTTTAACTAATAAAGTTGTGGAGTTGTAAAGTACTTTGTCTCGTGTCAATTATATTGTCAGTATACCGTTATTGCAAATTTTCAAATATATATCATAATAAATATTTTTGGCCATATTGCCCTGCCCTAAAGACCAGTTTCCTCTAGTTACATACATGCCACTGGTAATGAAATAATCATGAGTGTGCTTATCAGCATTTTGCAGTTGAGATAAATGGGAAATATTTTTTTTAATTTGTTTAAGCCATCTGCTTCTATTGTCTGGAACAGGTCAACGTCATGTTAAATCTCTGCCTCAATGGTCAAGTATGAACACAATAGCCCAGACACTGCCAGAGGAAGCATCAGCAGTGTGAAACTGTACATGCTCGTGGGCTGTGCGCTCGTGTGGAAATGACCTAACAGACACCTGATATCTAGAGGAGGATTGTGGGCGTTGGGAACAATCCAACAAAAAATATTATCAAAAAATTTCCTGACATGCCAACATTCCAGCCCCTTTAAGGTTTGGAGCAATACACCATCAGTTTTCAAGCACAGGGTCTAATATTTAAAGCTGTTTCCACACTCTTGGTTAAATGGTGAACATTAGAGATTATCCGCATTATGATCTGTGGAAGGAAAAATGAGAGTGGAAGATCATCTGACACAATATTTTTTCTCCTAGGCGTTGAGAGAAATTAAAGCTTTTTGCTCTCGAGTGCAGTCAGATGTCTGAGTGAGAGCACTGTACAATGTAAACAGTTATCCTGGTGTCCTCATCTTTCTAATTCCATGCTTATGAGATGGCAAAAGGCCCTCAGAAGTGCACTTTTCCCTTTTCTGCAGGAAGCATTCCTCTCTAATGACAGGGGAAGTTACAAGAAGGTCCATGCAAACAGTGAACCAGGAGAAAACACCCAACCTAAATTTGGTCATCTTATTAAAAGGTGGGTCGAGCAAAGAAGCTGTGATCTTCAACACGACATCTGTGGCCAACAAACTTCCTGAGACTCTTGCTCAAAGCTAGGTTGCGACGAAAAGGGCTGGGTGGGGCTCAAGCAATAAACGCAGATATAAGAGGATAAAGTGTTGTGGATTTAAAGTTGTGGGTGAGGAGTGCGTGAAGAGCTCTGGTTTATTTTATTTAGATCAAAAGTGGCCTCGGTGCCACCGCTCCCACCACAGTTCCATCGACTGGCGTTAAAAAGCGGCAAAGTCGAGTTTTCCAGACGATCGCCCTTTGCTAAATTGTGATAATAGTCTAAAAACATAGCTATTAAAGTTAAGTGAGCTTCTAGCCAAGTTCAACAACAATTTCAGCTAGTAACCACAAAAAAGTCATGTGTAGCACCAGGCAATAAATCTAACCTTACTACTATGAAGCCTGATTTAAATGGGATTTTTTCCAGACCTTACAAATTGTGTTACAAGTCAAGTCAGCCTTTAGGTTCAGTACATTATACATAACACAATCTATGCTCTCAGAATCTTACAAAGATTATAATCACAAAGAAAATAATATTGTTCAAACTGCTTTTGGGTTAGGTAGCAAATTTTGTACTTTTTCCACGAGGAAAATCTGTCCTTTCTTTTTGTCTAGAAGAGGTGTAGAAGATTGTGTCTAGATTTTAAGTGAAGTGTCAGCCTATTTGCTGGCTAGTTTTCTGTCTTACAGCTGCAGCAATCTGAAACTTGAAAGTCAGTGGAAATCTGTTACATCCCAGTCACAGAAATCACATATGGGACAAATACAACTGCACACACCAGCCTCTATAACATCATGTTAATCACACAGTTTCACTTTGACATTGCAGCTCATGCCCTACTACCCACGCCTGCTTTCAAGGAAAAATGCCACTGATAAAAAAAAATTTTAAAAAAGGTTTCACGTTGTAAAACTATTTAAGAAATGCTCCAATCCTGCACGTCACTCAACCTTCTTCACAACGCTTTACTGAGTTAGTATTGGTTCAGCACACAAGGTTCACAGAGCAACTCTTTAAACCTGCCTCTCAACATGCAGAGATCTTATCCTGGCTGCTGAAGCTGAATTATTCAAAAGGAGAGGGAGAGGAGAATACAGTAGGACTTCTAGGTGGGTCACTATCATTACAGCAGAAAGAGATGAGCTTTAAACTTAGCAGACGGATGGGAAAAGCATTCATAAATTATGAAATCCGAGTTGCTGCTTAAGGTTTGTTCCTTAAAGGAGAGTAGCCCGTTATTCACGAGTATTCAAATTACATCCACTGAATATTTGCAGCAACTTCAATTCTTTGAAATAGCTGGAATAATAATAAAACTACTACCTGTAACATCTAACCAACTAATGGCATAATATCCATCAGGGGAATGACATAAGGATCAAAAGTGTTCTTAAAGCAGGAATATGTAAAAGCTTTAGTCACTCCAAGCATGACTCCATTGAATATTTCAACACTGTAAGTGAATATTTATCAGATTATGATGATGTAAATGGTCAGCGCTACTGGAAACAATATTCTATGATCCTGCTGTTCCCCGGCATCATCTTATCTCACTAGACAACCTCGAACACTAAGATAATTCAGAGGTTATCTGCAGCTACAAATGTTCTTTTCTTTCCATTTTATCTGCATGATTTATGTGTCAGGTCCATCACGTCTCCCAACAGTCAGCTGGAACTGGCTCTGCAGTTTCCCTGTCCGTCCTGCAGGGCCCAGTGCCTTCTCACCCAGCCGTGCAGCTGAAGACAGCTCCTTCTCTGATGATTCTACCTACAGCCTTACTTAACTTTTCAAAAAGTCCCCCAGTGTGATCCTGCTCTCCCTATTTTCTCTTGCATTGCTGATTTGCTCCATCATTACCTGCACATACCAACTGAACCTTCAAGCCACTATTATGAACCAAATAAAAGAGCAGAAACGTGGTTCTTTAGTCCCTTCCTTCAAACGGGATATATACATTAGGCCTCTCCAGTTGCTAATTGCACTGACCTGGTGCCAAATCACCTCAGTCCTGCAAGTCCTCCTCCTGCAGCCTGCTGGCTAACTCGCTAGTAGGCTAATCTCTGCTGGCAACTTTCAGAGGCACGACCCCGTGGACTTGCAACTTGGATGCGAAGTCTACAAAAAGTGCGTGCCCAGATCGGCGTTAGAAATTCACGTTTTATGCTTCGAGGTTGCAGCCAAACGCGGACCGCTGTGTTGTGTGCCGCAGTTAGAAATCCCTGTGGAAGTTTTGTGGGTTTACAAACACAAGAACCACAATGGCGGTGCGCCTTTCTTTGAAAGCACCAACACACGGGCGAATGCACACACGCTCACGGTTTGGAGATGAGCAAATTGTGCAAAGCAAGCGCAAGAGAGTAAATACAAGCCCCTCTTTTTGTTCACCCCCTCTTCTTTGCATCTGTGTGAACTTTGCGCCATATTGAGCGTGCCCGCAGAGCCTGCCTGCACGGCGCAATATTGTTTCCAGGAAAACAAAAGCCGCAAGAAAACAAAGTAGCCGCCACTCACCTTGGCGATAGCCTTCTTATATCTCATGACAGCCTGCTGGATGAGTGTGTGGACTTTAATATTCCCATCCCCGCACGGCACAACCACCCGGGTCCTGCCAAAACACACCGTGACTTTCATGGTTTAGTATCCGAGATCTTCACCAGATTCGGAGCAAAACCGAGAAGAGAGGAGGAGGAGGAGAAATCCGCGAGAAAATTAAAAGGAGCATGGGTTTTTCGTTTGCTCTGCTCCGAGGCTGTCCCGGTATTCCTTCACAGAAGCGAGAGCTAACGGTCTTTCCGCCTCTCCCCGCCGGACGACATTGTTTTCTGCGTGTTTTCAGACCACCTGTTTAGCTGTGTCTCTCTCTCTCCTTCCTTCCTTCCCTCTCTCGATCCCAATCCCTCTCTCTCCCTCTGTCTCTGCTGAGCTAATGCGCGGTCATATGTTGCCTTCACGTGCACCTGGTAAAGTTTAACTAAAGTTGACCAACTTAAATCAATTAAAGAAAAATCTATTTTAGCAATCAGTGCTCGACTTGGACCAGTTTGTTACAATCTAGCTATATCAGTCGGTAGAATGTGGTTATTTCATTTACCATGCAAGTTAAGGTTTATTCTATTGATCAGTTTATATCGAACCCTAAGCTTATCCAAAGAGGCTTTGTCCTTCCCCAAAAGAAAAATAACCAAGACCTCATTAAAAATTCTATTTTTAAGTAGATTTTCATTTACTCGGGTATAAAGTTAATTTTATTTCCCGAAAGGCCAGAAAAATAGGTAAAATGCACAGATTTCAGTTAGGTACATTAACACAGACTCATTACCAAAAAGCAATTTTGACCATGGAAAAAAATGCTGTTGGCCAAAATGTTTTTCTTGAGAAACTGAAATAAAACACGGACATGATGATACACACAGATACCACAACCTATTAGAGGTAGAACTGCTATTTCAGGATTGCAGGCCTTACGAGCGGGACTTAAATGCAACCTCTAGTAGTGATGGCCGGAGTTGCACCGTGACTCCGCGCTGTGGTCAGTGTGGGTAATGTTTGGCGCCCACGGGGCAGCGGAGGGAAGAAATAATGAGAATCGACACACTGAATGAAAATAAAGCCGAAACCAGCAACTTACTGTGTTTGTAATTCTGCCTTACAAGGACAGAAAGCTGTGTGAAATCCTCCAAAGTGAAACACTTTTGTTTCTTTGACTTAAGAAGCTGCTTTAAAGTTAAGACTTGAGTTTGGTTTTAAAGGACGAATTAGGATTAGGCAGAGATTAAGTTTGGTAATAGGAAATGACTTAATAAGTAATTAAAGACTTGGGAATTATGTGTGTTTCCACCACCAGTGCACATTTCTTTTTATTACTCAGTGAAGTATACTTTCTTTTTTCCAACATCTAATTTGATGAGACGCCACTTATTAAAAGTTTCGTGTGTACCCAGCCCTTTACTACTTTTGTCTACTGCCTCACCTGGGATTAAAACAAGCCCCTTTACAAAAACCAGTCCAAACCCATGTGGGGAGCTTTCAGGAACAGCTTCCTCAGAACATGCATGGATCACATGGCTCGCCTTCCTCTGGCTGAACACAGTGAGTTATAGTGCCAAGAAAGGATGCAGTGCGAGGTTTAGTACAAGAAAAGAGAACTGCTGAATTTGAAGTATGCAGAAAGTGTGTGTGTGGTTTATATGGTCAGTGTTTCAACAGGATCGCTCCATCATGTAGTGCCAGCATGCAGCTGGGAGGCTATTTTAACTCTTAACACAGCTGGAGTACTCACAGGCCACCAACCACAGCCACAGCAGCTGTCGCAATGGATTAAACAACCTCACCTTTGGATATATGAGCACTTGTTTATCATCATTTGCACAAAACATAACAGAGGAAATGTGCAATCACACTGTCATAACAAAAGAAAGTAACCTATAATTATAGTGAGGGGGGCAAATGAAGAAACATCTCACTGACGTTCTGGTACAGATATATGTAGCTGCAGAGCAACAGTGGATCCAGTTTCTACAACAAGCAAAGGGGTGTAGGGGGAAATGGCTTTGGCCTTCAACCTTTCTAGAGAAAGCAAGAACAGGTTAGAAAATCCACCAAATAAAGGGATATCCTGGCAAACAAAACAAGCAACAGTCATTGGCTGGCATTTATTCTATATTCAAAACAGCAGGAGTAAAAACGATAATGAGATGCAGAAGATGTAGAAGCTGACCATGAGTCAATTCTTCAGATGATTACACTTCTCAAAGTCAAAAATTAACTTCCATTCTTAATAGACACGAAAGCCTGTATTTGATATGCCTCACAAGGAACCACACGCAGTACCATCAAGAAGTATTTGATCCCTTCCTGATTTCTTATTCATTTACATATTTCTCACACTTTCACGTTTCAGATCATCAAACACATTTTAATATTTTATAACAATAACAAAGTCAAGCAGGCTAAAAGATCTTAAAAAGCAACACATCATGGCCCGAGTTAAAAAAAAACCCTCAAAGTCCTTGACATCTATCAGTCCAGAAGGGCTACAAAGCCATTTCTAAAACGTTGTTTCTCCAGTGAATCATGGTGAGAGCCCTTATGGACAAACGGAGAAAACTTGGAACAGTGCTGAATCTTCCTGGAAGTTACAGCCTACTAGAATTATGCATTGACGACTCATCCACGAGGGCACAAAAGAACAAGGAGGCCTCACTTGCCTCAGTTAAGATCATGATTCATGAATAATGCTTCATGTTACTGATCTCCAAGACTTTTGGAAAAATATTCTGTGAACTGGCGATATATACACTCTAAAGTTTTTTGGAAGGTTTCAGTCATGTTACAATTGTTATAAAACTAACAAAGCATTTTATAACAGGAACTTTATACCAGCAGTTAAATATGATGGTGGTAGTGTGATGGGCTGCTACAAACTTCAATTTGTAATATAATTAATGTCTTGAGGTACGCAAGCTAAAAAGCTCCTAGTTTCAAGAGGATTTAAATTTAAGTATCCACCAGTCAACATAACCAAGGACCATATGTGTTTCAGTAGTGACCTCTTGTGGTGCACTGCTGTGGTGCCTCTTTAAGATGATTTTAAATCTTATTTGGCATAACCTTTATTAAAAGAGCAAATATACTACTTCTTGGTAAGCTCAGTTATGGCATTTATAGAATTTCCTATGTGTATTGCACTTATTTAATATCAGTGTTTCCCCAAACAGAAACATCTTCCATTTGCAATTTCAATGAAAATATAGTATATGGTTTTAGGATGCACAGTAAGCACAATAAACGCCAGATGAGATGGGCCTACCCCTTTGCAGACATTACCTGCAGTCTTTCACTTGGTATAAGATGCTACAATTGATCTTTTTAATCTGCAAATTAATACTTGGAAAAACACAGCTATAAAGCCTCTGTATCTTCATCATTTTGTATATGGTTATCATGAGATGACATTACTTTACCCTCACATTTTAAACTTTGACTTTCCCGAAAAAGGCCATGCATCTTCCAGAAATATGGCAGTCAAGCTGGAAAGGCCATGGCAGATGCTCAAATACCTCTTTGATGGTATTATCAGCGTGAAATTGTGTTGTGTAGTTATCCCAGGCTAATTTTGTGCTAAAGAGCTGTCTGGCCCAGGTCATATGTAACTCCCCGCTGTCAGGCCTTTGTGTCACCCCAGGGTCCCCCTTCTGTTGCTGGTACTTGGCCATCTGGAGACTCCATCCTCTGGCTACAGGATAGGCCAAGGAGATGGATGAGGGGGAGGGAGCAGCAGTGGGGGAGCATTAAGACAATGTAATTTTGTAATATAAAGCTGTGCTAGTTAAAGTATATGACACAAAACCTTTACAAAATGATGGACAGCAAAACTGGGAAAACTTAAATACTGTAGTCAGACTAATACTAATATCAATCATCATAATGCTGAAAGAATGGTTTACACTACAGTGAATGTAATGCATGCTGCACTCATGTTGTATACATCAATGCATTGCACCCAACAACACACATAATCATTTTTCTTGAATTATATAAATTTATGCCACACCGTTTGAGATGAAGAGGACTACTCTTTGATAGCATCGGGTGGCGCTGTTGTAACAGTGCAGCCTCTCCAGGCATACAGGAGGACAGATGGTGGCTCAGGGGTCAGCCAGTCAGTGCTAAATAAAGGAACCCAGCAAGTACATCACGGAATCTGCAGTAAACCACAGTTATCTGCACATTTTTTTAAACAGACTGACATTATACGGAAAATTAGCACCAGGAAACAAGTCTGAGTTTATAATGTAGTTCTAACAGGTGAGGTAACCATTAACAGTCCAAATATAACCTCTATTTTTTAACTATAAAACATTATTTGTTCTTTAGATTGTGTGGTCAGTTTATACTCTTTGCAATCTATTATTATTATTATTAATCACTGTCTATCAAACATCCAACTGAATTTAAATGCCCAGGGCTATTTGGTTGATTGTGGTAGACATAACTGCCAACACAAGCATCACTTTCTTATTGGAGTCTATGAAGTTTGCACTCTTAAATATAAATTCCGTGTACTCTTAAGTTTAAAAAAATGTCTCAAACAAAATGCAATACATTCCTCTTAATCTGCTTCGGCTTTTCAAAGTGTAATTGCTTCTTACGGGCACCAGAAAGCAGCATTACTTTGCTCTGTAAACATGAGTGTCCAAGTTACAAAACTATCACTGTAGCACTGTTATTGCACACTTCGACTTTTGTTGTTTAATTTGAAATTTCCTTGTTCCGAAAATTGAATGTATGAATATGAATACACTTCTCTTACCATGCTAAATTAAAACAATTACCCTTTTGAAAACTTTAACATAAAGGGGTCGAGTTAAGCTGTAGCTATGACTGTTTTTCGGAAACAATTTATTTCAAACATTTCGCGGACACATACACGGTAGAAAAACTAAAAGATAAACATTTGAATTAATTTCCAGATTCTAAGATCTTATGTGTGGCGTCTTCCCGTGAAATTCCTGCATTCTGTTGACTTAAAGCAAGAATTTAGCCACGGCTCGTTTTTTTCGCCCGCCGAGTGTAAACAAGGAAGCAGGAAGGAGTGAATGCTCTCGCTCCACCTCGACACTCTTCGGCGTTAAACTGACTCGCCTGTCGACATTTTCGGCACAGCATCATCAGCGCTGACGTGGAAACTACGTGAGCGAAGGCACGGGCCGTTCACCCATACTGTCATTAGTGACGACTCAGGCTACGTAAAACTTCGGTAAGTCGCTGCAAAGCTGTCACATTTTTGGTCAGCGCCAGTCGGGCAGAGTCGAAGGAAAATGTGCAAATACATCTTTGGTGCGAAACGCTCCATTAAAGCCTAATTTTGTAACCACAGCTGATAAATTGCCGACCATCATGGAGTTAAACAAAATGTTCTCAACTGTCAGCAGTTCCTCTCTGAAGTTTACTGAGCTAAGTCAAGTCAGGCGGAATAGATGTCGGAAGTGGAGTGGACGCGACCTCTTCAAAATAAAAATCCTAAGCCCAACTACGTAAAATATTCTAAAATATCCAATGTGAAGACTTTGTTGTTGTTTTTTATTCCAAATTCGTCATGTGTAACACAATTTATTTTAAAATTGTATTAAAATATGTTGCTCAAAATAAAAGTCCAACATTTGTCAAATTTTCACCCCGTAAGGTCTGCCCTTAAAACGGAAGTCCATTTTGTCCCCTATTTTTTCTTAGTTCAATTGACAAAGCTCTGTTGTAACTGCGTGTAATTTGTTTTACTTGAAACGTTAAAAAGTGTCTTGTTAACAAATACGGGTGCTGCTTTAAGATAAATTCACACATCTCGAAATATGGTAAAACGGGTTCAGGACATTTCTAGGGCAAACGGCTGTGGATTGCTAATTAAATTTTATTGAAATGTTTCAGATTTTCACTAGTAAGAAACTTCAGAGTTTGCCATCAGTAGGAGAGAATAAACAGTTTGAGGCTAGTCTAAAAAGCAGGGCTCTGTGGCTCATCATGAGGGTCCCTGATGTGTATAATATGTAAATATTAATGCTTTCCAGTTATGATGCTGGCTGTTTACATCAGTCCAATTTTTGTTGCAGAGACCCTGTAAAAATAGAATTAGAATCCCTCCATTTGTTTAGTTTTGACACTGCAGCCAGCCTCTAATTTGAAGCAAATCTCTTTTAATTTTCTAAAACCCAGTTGGACACAAATCTTTACAGCCTTTCATTGTCATTATTGCCCAATAACAAAATTGTACTCGAGTTTGTAACAGTCTGTCGTCCAAATTGTGGAAAAAAAAAAAAGAATCCTAAATTCAGTCAGCCAGCTTCACCTGGTGGCTGCCACACTTAATGAGCTTGCTAGTTATATAATGCAAATTTGTCACAAGCTGAAAAACACTCACTCTCAGCACAGATCTTTGGACAAATAATTTTAAATCAGGAGTGTTTTCATTTCATTTATTTCTGTTGGCTCTGTCTTCTCAAATTGTATTTCAGACTCACTGATTGAGGAGCATTCAGTTTACCATCTCATTATTCTGCACTTCATTACAGTGCAGTTAATGTTGTTATTTCTGCCTCTATGCACCCGGCTGTCTGGATCTTTTTTGCGTGTCAGTTAAGCTTGAACGGAATCGTACTGAACAAAGTAATTAAGTGCAGATAGAACACTTATAACACAATATAAAAATATAACACAGGTCTTGTAAGCACAAGACAATTCTTGCCGATATTCGAAGGTTAAATGTCTATCTGTAGCCAATGTTTAATGAATACTGGGGGGGAAATTGGACTGCAAAAACACATTTATTTGTCTTTTACCTGTGTAATGATGTTAGAGAAGAAAACATTAGGATTGCCTTTGTCTGCTTCAGTTGTATCATTATTAATTTGCCCGTCCATCTGTCTGTCTAGGTGAGCGACTATGGATAGCTCCGTATCGTCTCAGCTGGACAGCAGTTTAAATGACTCATTGACAGATGGAGAGGAAAACCAGAGTGAAACCAGCCCTTCTCCTGCAGCTGCTGCTCAGGTGCACACATGCGCGGTTAGGAAGTGTTTGGTGGTTTTAACCGGAAGAGAACAAACAAACTTTAAGAGGTGTTCAGACACTCAAGTCTAACTGTTGCAGGCAAACATTCATCATTTCATGTGTGCCTGCAGGCGTCACTAGCAGAAGAGTCTTCCGGTGTGACTGTTGTTCAGCTGCCTGGTCAGACAGTTCAAATCCAGGGGGTCATCCAGGCCCCGCAGGCCTCTGTTATACAATCACCACAAGTTCAGACTGTCCAGGTGAGGGCACATGCTTGCCTCAGAACTCATTTGAACTCTTTTAATGGATGACTCAGTTTTTCACATCAGAGAATAGCTTTGTCAATACATGCAAAATTTAATTTCAGTTCCAAATTTTAACTGGAGACTAATGAAACATCTGTATGCAGTAAGCAAAGTAGTTAGAGGCTCCTATGGGTCATGCCAGAGTCAGAACCCAAGTCAATCAGGAGACTGAAGTCAACTCTTAGCCAAGTTGCCAGTCTCTCAGGGTGGGTCTCAGGTCTTACATAATTCAAGATATGATCAGGTCAGACGTTTCAGAGCAAGTTTCAAGTCCATTAGGATACAGTAAGTCCAGATTATGCCTCAAGTCACTGAAAACAAGTCCCGACAAATCTTAAGTCAAGTCGAGCCTCCAGTAACACCTCGAGTCATTTGAACATGTTTCAAGATAAGTATCTCTGTCAAAGCACTCCTGATGCAAATGCTCTAGTAAGATGAACATTTAAGCCACAAAGCCTGACAATAACACCTAGAAAAGCAGTAAATACTGTCCTCACTCTGCTCTGTACACTAATTTAGATCGAGATCAATATCTTGGTCAATGAACTTGTAACTGCTGTGTACAAGGCACACTGCAGGGCTTATGGTTTAATGTAGTGCATCTGTTAATAGGATTCAAGCGAGCGGCAGGAACTGAGGTTTAAGCTCATCAGTCTAACCTTCACTCTCAGGAGATGTTGTGTCTCGTTTAGATGACTGCTGTAGAGCTGCAGATGCATCAGTCATGTCATGTGAAAATGCTGGCAAGAAGTTATTAATATTATTGTATTGAGGACCAGTGTCTAGAAGTATAGGGCCTGAGAAAGGAAACAGTGGTTAAAATGGAGAAGCAGACTTTTCTCTACTGTGCAGCTTTGTTTGCAAAGCAGAGGTTACTTTGTCGTCTCATGGAAAGTATTTTTTCAAGGAAATTAGCATGAAAATAGATTATATCTTTGAAATGCACAGTCAGCTGGCATAGATCTACACCACAACGTGGTTTTGTTGACTGGTTTCAAACTACTCTGTACTTCTTATCTGTGAAACTATCAGTAGCAAGTTTGACTTGTTGCTGATTGACTGCTGGTATTAGCTGTACGTTTCCAGTAATAACTGTTATTTAAATAAATCCTGCATCAGTAAGTCTTAACGTAAGACTCTGATTGAGTGCCATTAAACATCTGGAGGATGCAAAACATCCTGTTTAAAGTCAGCACTAACACTGTGTGCGTAACAGCACAGCACAGTTATTTCTTGCTTTAAATTTGCTTCCAGAGCATAAAGCTAACAAGCTTAGTTCCAGCCTCCACTTTATTACAAATTAATGGACACACCTCTGTTTAACCCGGCACCTTTGTCTGGTACAGATATTATCCTAATGTACATTCATTACACAGCAGCGTGAGTCATAAAAGCCCTTTGGCTTATGACACATTACCAGGGTGACTTTGTTATTATTCCCACAGTATGTTTCAGTTGGGAAAACAAACAACTTTTTTTTGCAAATAATTGTGCAGAATATACAGTGCTGTGCAAATGTCTTGACCCTTCATATGTTGTTTCTAAAAAGCCAGACTTTCTTGTAATTTGAAAGTGGCTTGAACCACAGTTCTCCAGTGTTTCTGAAAGTTTTTTCCTTTGGACTTTGACTGCTTTTCACTCATTCATAGTTCAAACCTTGTACCTGACCAATTTCAGGATTTATGATTTTTTTAAATTTGTTTTTGCTTAACACTGATCTATGAATCACTCGAACATAAAACAGGCACCCATCTCAAGGGATAAAGCAGTGCTGTGTCAACACATTACAGACAACTTAGCAGTGAACCAATGTAAATCATATCTTCAGGCACTTTGTTGCAAACAACCTATTGCAAAGGCACATCATTTTATTCCAATTTCTTTAGTTGAATCTGTGAAAAATGTCAACAACAAGAGTTTGATGGACATCGAGATATATATCTCACCAAGGTGATTCCTAAAGAGTTGAGTCCTTGATATCAGCCACAAAGTTGGCATATCTTGGGATTGTGTGGACAGATGGAGGACAAAAAAAGAAGTGGCAGGCCTAAAAAATCTATTCATGTCCTTAGGAAATAGGGAAAAAATTCTGTAAATACTCAATGCATCAGGCCTTCCAGTTGACCCATCTACTGTCAGTTTAAGCCTCATCAGAAATGTCTCAGTGGAAGAATTGGGCCAATCTTAAGGAAGGGAAGTAGAAAGAAATAGCTCAGTTATGCAAGATTGCACAGGAGCTTGGTTGAAAATCAACATGGTGAGTCTTACAGAGTGATGAATCCAAATTTGACATTTTTGGTTAAAATCATAACTAATATGTGCGGAGGAGGTCAAGAGAGAGGGGCAACAGTGAGTGTGTGTCATGGGTTAGGACTCCATGTCAGTCAGTGGTGTTGGGGATCTTGTGAAAATTGCTGGAATTAAGAATGCAGACTAGTACCTCTCTATACACTGCCAATGGAGTAAAACATAGCTGGATGGAAAAAGACACAATGAATCAATATCAGTCATGGATTAGCCTCCCCAGAGCTAAGACCTCAATATTACAGAGGTGGTGTTGGATCATCATGACCAAGAACAGAACAAAAGGCAGCAAATACCTAAAAAAAGAGCTTTGAATGTGCTTTAAGAAGCCTGGAGACTTAAAAAAGTTACAAAAAAGCTTTCGCTAAGAGTTTAAGCTTGTTAGAAATGTAAAAACTCAGTTTTTGCCTTTTATACTGTATTTCCATATATATTTGCACACTTCAATACATAATTTTCCCTGGAAAACTATAAAGAAATCAAGAGTGGCAAGACTTTTGCGCACTACAGTTATTGTCTCTTGTGACATGCAATGCGTTGAAAAGAGTAGGGCTTGAAAAAATGCAGCTCAAATTCCTTCTTTGACGTCATCTTTGTCTCTCACAAACACCTCCCAGTGTTCTACAAAAGACAGTGTGTGGAAAGATACACCCACTCAGTGACAACATTTAGCACAAATGATGTTGCCAAAATAATTTAAAAAAGAAAACAATGTGGATTACTCATCACTATTAATTACTGCCTGCTTTTTGCTCAGATTGCTACTGTAGCAGAACTGGAGGATGACGAGTCAGTAACAGACACACAGAAAAGGCGGGAGCTTCTCTCCAGGCGTCCTTCATATTGGTGAGAGGATATGAAGAGTAAGCTAAATTGTGATATATGTCATAAAAAGTCTGCTAGTGTTAAAAGGTCTTTATGAAAATACTTTATTTTGTTTGGCAGGAAAATTTTGAATGAGCTTTCCTCCAACTCACCGGCAGTTCCTAAAATTGAAGAGGAAAAGACGGAGGATGAAATGCCAGTTTCCAACTCCCCCACAGTGCCAACCTCCATCTACCAGACCAGCTCCGGACAATACAGTCAGTACACACGTGAATGGTCCACTCACTAGAGAGTCATCTTCAGCATTTTCTGCTCTGGAACATACATTTACAGAACTGTGCAAAAGAGTTTTAGCCACACTTCACTATTTATACCGTGCTTCCAAGGAGCCTGTAATTTTTAAAGTGGTCTTGAGTAATAGTTGTCCAGGCATTTTCTTTAGATATTGGCAGCTTTTTCACTTCTTTTCGATCCAGTTCTTGTTCCTGACCATTGCTGTTTCTTTCTTTCTTCATGAATCCAATTAACACTGACCTATGAGCTATGGGGAACACTTCATGAAGTCTGTTAAAAGAAATTAAAAGAAAGCTTGCCTAACAGAGTTCAGGCTGTGCTGAAGAACAAAGGCGGTCATACCAAATATTGATTTTCAAATTTGTTACATTTGTAAAAACTCTGTTTTTGCCTTGTGTACCAAATTCCCATTCATGTTTTAAATGTTTCCCAGAAAATATAAAGAAGTGAGAGTGGCTCAAGATTGTTGCATATAATCAGTTCATTGGGTACATGCAATTACAGGAAATATTTCATTGCTTGAAGAGGAATGAAAGGCAAAGGTATTCCTTTCCTTCCTGTGTACACATTTGGAAGCTTTAAGTGTTCACAGTGGGTTAACTTAATAATTATCTAAGTCGTTTAGAGAAAATGTTCTCCAATAGCTTATAGAGCTTTATGGCTCCTGTTAGGACCATAAAGCTCTGTGAGCTATTGGAGCAGAGAAAATCAAATTTCAAGCATTAGATGTTACTATTTCTTCATTCTAACTTCATGAAATCCCCTACACAGTTGCAATCACCCAAGGGAGAGCCATCCAGTTGTCCAGCCCTGGGGTTCCAGGTCTACAGGGGGTCCAGAACCTGCCAGTAACAAGTAGTCCCACCCCACAGCCTGGAGCCGCTGTCTTACAGTGTGCAGCTCAGCCTGGAGATTCTCCACAGCAGCTCTTTATCCAGGGAGGACAGGTACTCATCCAAGGTAGGGTGCAACTTTGAATTTATATCAGAAACATCCTTTACGAAACAGCAGCATACATGTTGGGGTGTAAATATTGAATGTTTTGGCTTTTTCTAACGGCACCTCAGATTTTTATTTATTTATTTTCTCCACAGATATAAGCCATAAATGATAGCAGAGATCAAAATCTGTGTAAAAAAATAATAATATGGTAATCCCCATCTGACATCGTGGGATTAAGGACTCAATAAATTATGGGATGTTTCTCAGTGAAAACATGCAAGACCCTTTGTGACAGTAATTCGTCCTACAGACAGTAAATTGTATCTCAAAAAACATTTGAGATTCATAACTCTGCAATATTAAAGTTTCATTAGGATTTCCATTACGTTCCACAAATGTGTCCACACCACTTGGATTCATTGTGCAATATATTCATCTTTTACTTTCAGTGATTTCTTAAGCAAGTTTGTAAAAAATTCCTTCAAGTTCATTTCTTACTTTGAACACAGCTGCAGTTCCATCTTCAAAGCACCAAAAAGATGATTATTTGTTCTGAGTAAGTGCTTGAATTCATCAAGATGTGGTGAAGGCTTACTCATCTGCTCTACTCCAAGCCACTCTCTTTCTTCTTTAGTTAAGATATCTCTCTGTCCAGCTGTTGTTGACCATGTTGTGTTGTCAGGTCTAATCTCTTGCTTCATATCGAAAGTAACACATAGCTCAGCAAAGAGCTTATCGCTGTCATCTGGCAGAACTTGGAGCCTCTGGTACCTGTTAAAGGACACGAATAGGTCAGTTTTGGTTTTTTGGACAAAGGGTTAATGACTGCCTGAAGTCTAAAACTATGGACATTACAGGTGATGATTTTCTTCCCTTGAGTTTCTGCTTGTTTGTGGATCTTTCTGCATTGAGTTTTGTATTTAACTGAACAGGATGCTCTGTTGGGTTGAGATCAGGTGACTGACTCGTCCATTGAACAATGTCCCATTTCTTTGCTTGATAAACTCTTGGGTTGGTCTTGCAGTATGGTTTGGATTAGTATCCTTTTGCACCATGAAGTGCTGGCTAGTCCGTTTTGCAGTGTTTGAGTGAATCTAATAAGAGAGTATAGCTCTGCATACTGAAGAATTCCCCCCTGCTACTTCTGTCATCATCAGTAAATACCCTGAACCACCTTGAGTGGGCTCCTGTTTTCATTGGGTTTAAAAAAAAATTCTGTCTTTCTACAACGGTCTTTCTGATGTTGCACTTCAGCCTCAACACCATGCAAACTAAACCCTTTAACCTGAAGATCAAAGTAATGAATAGGAAAAAGAACAGAATCAAGTTGTTTTCTGTGAAGGAGCTGGTTGTGCTCAACGCTTGTTAACCTGAAGTTAACTGGATAAAACTGCTGACTTTTCATTTTAAGCTAGTTAGGACGAGGGAAGTTTTCAATATCTGATCATTTTTTGCTGATATTAAGATGAACACACAAAAGGCGAACTAACCCATTCATTTACTCTCATTGACTTGTTCATAATAGTAAATCTGTGGTTTGAGAACTGACGCTTTAAGAAAATAATTGCATTCAGAACATCCGAAACATGTTAATTAGAAGGTGAAGTTCTAGTTTGATTTACAGTCAATGATAAGATCAAAGTAGCACTCGCCCATGCGCTTGACTTATCAGCAGACGTTCCAAAAGTACAGAAAGTCTGTACTTAAGTAGAAGTGCAGATACTATTGTTAAAAAATACTCCAGTAAAAGATGAAGTAGTGATTCCACTTGTTTACTCAAGTAAAAGTGAAAAAGTACAGGCTCTGAAATTGACTCAAAGTAAGAAAGTAAAAAGTATCTCTTTAAAGGACATTTCTACCAGCTACTTTTATGCAAAGCTAACTGAAACTTGCCATATTGATGTAATAAGAAAATAATATTAGTGGTTTATTTTAGTCTAAAATTTCATTCTTATAAATTCTTATCTTGAATCAGATTAGCAGAAAGTGAGCAGAAAAAATTAAGGAAATAAATGCCTCTGCTTTCTGTTGCCTGCACTGTAGAGGGTGACTTTGACTCTATACAGAAGAACAGTAGATGTGGGATTCAACCTGTTTATCCCACAATAACATATTTCCATGCAACCTTTAAATAACACAGATAGTTCTACCTCATAGACATAATGTTACATGTGACCAACCTTTATCTGATGTAAAAGCATGAGGACTTACATGTAAGCTTTAAATTTGCAGTTCAAATTGCAGGTTCAAATGGGTTTGATGTTTGAAGGCCTGGAGTGACATGAAATAGTACCTCCCCTCTGATGCATTAAAGCAAGAGTAATGAGCCTGTTTTGAAAATGTAAGAAGTAGAAAGAGTAAAAGTAAAAAGTTGTCAGGAAAAAAACTACAATTAAAGTACAGATACCTGAAACAGTATTTGTAATTCGTTACTTCATACTCTGCTTTTCAGGGACTGTTCGTTGTATACTTTCACAGAGTCACATGCACTGACATCGTGTTTCATACCCTATGATCATAACCGATAGTTTTGCAGTGTAATAGCTGATGAATGTCTCATATTAGTGGTCAGGTTTCAGTTCATGTAGGTGCCTTTTCAGTAACTCAGTAACTCTGCCTGACACTGTGTTATTTACCTTATCAGTCCATAAGTCCATATCCAGCTGGCACAAACAGAACCACCTATGTGCTTGGGCTAATTCGTTCCTTCCAGCTGAAGAGCTCTGTATTAACAACAAAGCTGCTCAGCAGCAGGGCTGTGGATGTACTAATAGTTAATCAGGATTGTTTTAACCATGGTGAAAAGTCATAGAAACATTTTTTACGCATGTTGCTATTACTAAGAGGTTCAGAGTTTCCCTTTTTGAATTGATTTCAGAATCAATGGTTAACCAACAATAATCAATGTTACTTGCTGTCTTTATTTTCGTTCCTCTGGTATTCTTTTCTCGATATTACCAGGAGTTAGAGTGCAGGTTTTTGTCTAAAGTGAAAGCCCTGCAAATGTTAGGCTGAGCTGTGATAAATTTAAACCTGTGACAGTGCCAAGAATTGTCAAATAAAAAAAGTAAAATAAAAATAATGCATGATCCTCCTAATTAGTAATACCATAAATTTCACTCACGTCCTTTCCATCCTGGCTGCTGATTTTCCCACCAAAGACCCATCAGGCAACTAAGTGGTTAATATTGTTTTGACAGGTTTGGTTAAATAACTGTTTTGTAGAATTCAGCAGGATAAGTAATGGACGTTTGCTTAAACTTGAAAAAAATGTAAAACCTTCATTATCCATGTTTACTATTTTCTTACTTCCTTAACACTTTCCAAAACACACACACACACACACACACACACACACACACACACACACACACACACACACACACACACACACACAACTTGAATCAGGGAGCTCAACAGTTTGCATGGCAGCCGCTTGGGACACAATATCCTCTTGTTTGTTGAACGTCGCTCTAGTTGCGTCACTGGAGCTAAAAATACACCCCCTCAGCTACCGCCCTCCCCCCATTAGCTCCCCCGCCTTCCCTGCCTCCCTCCCTCCGTTCCTGCCTGGCTCACATTGTGTTTCTGTACTTCAGTTACTCATCTGCAGGAGGGGAGGGTGGGAGGAACTCTAATCCAGGGTGTTTTACTGACTTCAGCGGGCAGTAGTGATGTCATTGTGATGTCAATGCCTGTAATTGTAATCAGGCTGTAAAGTTGGCAAGTGAGCACTCTGATACAGAGAGCTGAGAGGAAAGGAGAAGCGGGAGCAAAGGAGATACAAGTAAAGCAGAAAAGGATAGTGGTAGAGGAGAGTTTTTGTAGTGAGGTGTCTCTCTGCCGTGGTGCTGGATTATTGGAAACCAGAGATGGCTGTAACTGGGGATGAGACTGAGTCAGGTAGAGCTTCTTCACATGTTTAATAATGTGTTCTCTGCAACACTCTGACTCTTTTCTCTGTGCTTTTTCGAGAGATATTTGTGCATGTTTTGATTTGATGTATAGCTCTAATTATACCTGAATGTAAGTCCTCTTAAAAATATGCTTTTGGTATTTGGAGCTTCTAATTGCAAGAGGATCTATTTTATTTAGTAAACTGTGAGAGCAGAAGCTTTTGCATTCAGGGGCATATTTATGAAATTGAAATTACTTTTACTCGACTTTCAATTTCATGCCTTGTGAAAGTAAAGATGAGTCTTTACACAGATCATACTGGTGTCCTTGCAGTTGCAAAACAGGAAAAACACTCATGACAGTTCAGGGTTGAATTCAGATCTAGCAAGTAAACAAGCATTTAGTTAGTATGCTCAGCGTTGCTCCATTCAGACTCTTTCTCGCTGTTGCGAGTAGGTTCTCACACACACACACACACACACACACACACACACACACACACACACACACACACAGTGGTTGTTGGGCAGACAGGCAGGGAGGGGGTAATAAGTAAGGGAGAGGTGGGGAGGGGGTGGTAAGATAGTTGGGGGTTTGACGTCACTCCAGTTTCCTGGAACAGAAGCCAGGCAGGGAAGAGAGAATGCAAACGGGCAAGTGAGACGCACGCACTGACGTCAGCACAGCCGAGTCACTCTGTTATCACAATGAGAGAAAAAGAGACAGACGCTCTGTGTGTCTGTGCGTGTATGTGTGTTCGCACCTGCTGTGTCTCTTTCTGAATGAGTGTGTGTGTGTGTCTGTGTGTGTGTGTGTGTGAACAGCAGGTCAGGGCAGAGCAATGAAACTTCTCAGGAACAAAGTGAAAACGAGAGGGTGAAATGTTACGAGGCAGCAGGCAGAGCAGCACACAGTTGAGTCATGAAAGTGATGACTCAAATCAAACAGCTCATAAACCACATCCACAGAATCGCTTTGTTTTTTTCAGCCTTCTCCAGAATTAGCATCACTTTCTTTTAAGAATTCGAGAGGCTACCAGTTATCAGTAGCATACAGTGGTTTACAAAAACGTCACCTCCCAAATGCAAGTGCTGTTATCTCGTTAGAGCGATACCAGATCTTGTGAGGAAACAAACAAAACTTATGGGTTTATTCTACTGAGAATAAACGCAGTCATATTGTTTGCAGTTTATCATATGTTTCAGTAAATGTTAGTATAATATAAAGGCAATAATGACTCTCTATTCAAAAATCAAACGGTGAGCAGCTTATTTAGATTGGACAGTCTGATAACAACTTTTTTATTCTGCACCGCTTCAGGCTATAAAGTTACATTGCATTACATTAGCAATAGCAGGACTGAAGGTGTTTTAGAGTATTTGGACACAGCAGGCCTCTGACCTTTAGTTCCTATGGTTAAAAGCACTTAACTCTGGTCCTAGAGCATAAATTCACAATTTATGAGGGCAAATTAAGTAAAAACAAAAGCAGATCTTACTAATGTCTGCATAAAAAGAACAGAAATAGACTTTATGGTACTTGCTGTGTTGCTTAGTATCCCTCAGAAGTGGGAACTGCTTGACTTTGTATTTCAGCAGCAAAGTTTTGAAGTTTGTTTGTTTGAGCCAACATCTTTTTATTAGAGCTCCTAATTCCTGCTTTTAATGTAATAAAATAATAAGTACAGCATAATGTTAGGACACACCTCAAGAATTTTTCTTAAAAAAATGCAACATTTTGTATTCTGTGTTAGTCTGATGGTATAAGGATAAATGAAGCAGGTAAAGATTCTTGTACAGATTTAGAGTTTTTATGAGGAAAATATAAAGACAACAAAGATCTACAAAAAGTAAAAGGTTGCAGAATCTTGATCTCCTATTCTTTTGTCTGTATTCGTCTACAGCCGCTACTGGAGACATCCCCGCCTACCAGCTTCGTTCACCAAACTCGGGCCTGGCTCAGAGCATTGTAATGGCTGCGTCTCCAGGCAGCATGCAGAACCCCTCATCACAGCACGCCGAGGAGATCACCCGCAAGAGGGAGGTCCGGCTGATGAAAAACAGGTAGGAGCTGAAGTAGAAGTAAAAGATGGTATTTGAGGTGTAAGATCATTCCATGTCAGTAATGGAAATATGATTGCAAGCAAGCAAGGGAATAAATGTTGGGGACCCCCTAATTCATGCATATTGGAAACTTTGACTGAAGTGTTATTGTGCATGTCTGGAGGTTGCTGTTCACACTTTGTGTCAAAGCGACTATTCACAAAAGGTCAAAGCTAAAGATTTCTGCTTTTGTAGGTGATCGGCAGATTTTTTAAAAATTTGAAAACGAAACACTGCAGCGAATCTCTACGTAAACAGATTCGCGAACTCACGAAACTCAAACTCAAAAGCCTCAGGCATTGTTTTGTTTATGGATTGTGCAGACTTGTCTTGACTCTTATATTATATTTTCATCTGGAGACTCATCCAAATTTTTCCTCCATTTCCTCCTCAGGGAAGCAGCTCGTGAGTGCCGCAGGAAAAAGAAAGAGTATGTCAAATGTCTGGAAAACCGTGTGGCTGTGTTGGAAAACCAAAACAAGACCTTGATTGAAGAGCTAAAAGCACTAAAGGACATTTACTGCCACAAAGCTGAGTAGCAGTGGCTGTTTGTGGTCATGGGCTGAAGACAGTTTACAAACTTCTACAGCAAAATAAGACAAAACAAAAAAACAAAAAAGAAAAAAAAAAGAAAGAAGAAAAGACTCTGGAACAAAAACTACTTTCATCGTCTTTTATTCTCTGCTCACTCAGGCCTGATTTACGCCAAATTTCAGAAGTGTCGTAGGGAAGTCAAATAGCTTGAGCTTGCCAGTTTCGCTCTTGTTCTTATCTTGTGCTCTTTGCATGTGAAGACTCAAGTGTCGTACACATTGTGTTTGCTGTTGCTGTTGCGCACGAGCGAGGCTAACCAATGAGAGCCAGCTGATGAAGAGGAACAGGAAGAGGAAATACAGGTGTTTCCTGAAAATGTTCCGCTCATTTATGGCAATTACGAAAAATCCTTCGAGGGGTCAGCCAGGTCCCGCAACCAGCATGTTTCTCTGAGGTCAGACGAGCTGCTACGCAGATCCATCAGCACTGCGACAAGGCAACTCAAAGTGTGTTTACCTGATTATATGTTATTTATGCTTCTGTTTTTGGTCATTGCATTCCTTCATGCGGTTAAAAAAAGGAAGAGAGAGGATTTTTCTCGCGTTTTTTGTGTGTAGTGTGTTTTTTTCTTTTTTTTTTTTTTTTACAAGATTTTTTTTTTTTTTAAGAAAACACTGGTAAAGTCAATGAAATCAACATAAAAATCCATTTGCGTTGAAATCTATTTCATACCAATATATAGAGAGGCATTATCTGAATCACAGTATAGTTTCAAAGAATCAAATAATGTTCAAAAGAATCTTTATTTTTGCATTACTGAAGTGACGTTACAGTACTTGAAGTGAAACGAAAGAGCACAGTTGGACTTTGGAGAAAGCACAGAAAGTAACCAAGGACACGTGTAGATATTAGAGTTTATATTCTATTGCAGTTACCTGAATTTATCCCCCTTAGGGATAAATAAAGTCTTCTGATTCTGATTTCACATAAAAACGTATATATTCTACAAAGATAGTTGTTGTATGTTTTAAAAATTGAAATATCAAATTTGTAAACAATCATTTTACATTGAATATGGCCCCAAGAATAACTGTTTTGGTCTGCTGTTAAATAACTTTTTGAAATGATGAATATCCATTTTGGAATAAAACTGTATTTATGGCTTATTGTAATATTAAAATGCTCTGTTTAAAGGGTAATGCCAATTCTTTTGTCTTTTTTTTGTAAAAATATTCTTTCTCAAATAATGTATCATTTTGTGTTCATGTTTCTGGTAATATATGTAAAAGCTTTCTCTGTTTCTGTTGTAGCTCGCATTGTTTCCCTGATTATACTTCATTAAAATATTTGATTTTCTATGAAGAATGTAGACAAATGCACAAAAGAGCATTCCTCTGAGTAGCAGACCCTGACATCTGTTACAATGCGGCTGCCAAAGCTCTTTAAGTAACAGTAAGGGATCTACCCACTGACTAACTCAGTCATAACAGTATCAGTCTTGATAGTTGCCACCCAAACAGTCTGCTACTGTCTGTGATCTCAGACGTGCGCCCATTCTTTTAATTTCTATGAAAGGAAAACATCCAGGCCTTCTATATCTCTATTTCTTTAATATCAGATGAGCTGAATATTTTCTGCACTTCGTTTTTGCTGTTTTAAATGGCTCAGTCTTCTACCAGGTGTTCTGTTGTTGATGTACTTCCTCATTTGAATTGTAAAAAAAAATTTTTTGTTTATCTAATAAAATATACAAATGTGACATGGATTGTGTGATAATGTTTAGCTCACATACTGCTGATGAAACTCCCTCAACACTGAAGCCATCTTATGTTAGTGCAGTTAAAGCTGTGCAAAATAAATCTGCACTTTACAGGTCCATAAATTGTTGGACAAAGCCACAATTTTTGTGGTTTTGCCACTGTACACCAAAACAACTTATATGTAATTGAAGTGCAGACAATCAGAGGCTCAAAATTCATTGGACAGTTGACTGACACATGGCTTCATGACCAGGTGAAGCCTGTTCCCTCATGTTTTATGACAAGTGAAGCAGACAATCTGAAGTTTATTCACACTGTTGAATTTGTAACTTATAGCTGGTCACTGTAGCTTTAAATATAAGGGCCACAGAGATGTTAATGCAAGTGAGGGAGGCCGTCATTAAGATGGAAAATAGAGTAAAAACGAATAAATAAACATCTGAGAGAAAGCAGGAACTTTAGGAGTAGCCAAAACGCCTGAAGTCAAATAAGGTGCACGATGACAGAATCATTTCCACGGTTAAGAAAAACAACATCACAACATTAACCAAGTGAAGAACTTTCTCGAGGAGGTAGGCGTATTATTGTCAGTGTGTACTATCAAGAGGCGCCTTCTTAAATGGAAACACAAGGTGCAAACCTTTGGTTATGCTCAGAAGAAACTAAGATGAACTTGTAGCATAAAGATAGAGAAAAGTATGGAGAAGGAGAGAAACAGCTCATATTAAGAAACGAATTACGTCGTCTCTCAGACGTGATGGAGCTACTACTGTGGCACGAACATGTATGGCTGCCAGTGGAAATGGACCACCATACTTTATTGATGGTGTTTATTGATGAGGTGACTGCTTATAGAAGTAAAAAGATGAATTATGAAGTATACTGGGTTACACTCTCCACGTAGATGCAGCCAAATGCTGCAAAACAGTCCTAATATTTTAAAATGATTGATTATGGTGTTTATTAAAGATGAAGCTACAAAACTGTGTCTTTGCACAACAACATATGGGCTTAACTATATAAATTAAATTAAATAAGGGAACTATATTATATTATTGCATGATTATTAATTGTATAATCATATATAAGCAGCATATTACTTTACTAGCTTAGGAGAGGAGAAAATTGGTGGTAGCTTGAATCATTTTAAGAATTGTTGGGTAATTTTAACCAATAGGGATTCTTCCCATTTCCAAAAAATGTCAGAGACAATAACACCAGTGTTTTCTGTATTAGGACATTTTCAAGCAATCTGATGGGTTTTTAAAAAAGTTGGTCTTCAGTTCATCAGACTGAAGAGCAAGACCTAAAAGCACCAAATGTGACTTATTGCAGCCAACAACAGAGAATATTTGTATATACTGATCTCCAATAGCTGCATAGCTAAAACCTCAAATAGTAATTAGACTAAAGCCATAGTATTAGCCGAAGTAGAAATCTTATGGTTGTTTATGACTACTTCAGAAATTAGGAGCCAACACAGAGCTGTAATATATGGAATATTGTACACACTGTAGCTCAGGGGTGCCGAACTCTGGGCCTCGAGGGCCGGTGTCCTGCAGGTTTTAGATATCACCGTGGGTCAACACACCTGAATGAAATGATTAGTTCATTACCAGGCCTCTGGAGAACTTCAAGACATGTTGAGGAGGTCATTTAGCCATTTAAATCAGCTGTGTTGGATCAAGGACACATCTAAAACCTGCAGGATACCGGCCCTCGAGGCCTGGAGTTTGACACCTGTGCTGTAGCTGTTATATTGTACTTTCTCTATTCATTTCTTCACTTGCTTTCACTCGCTGCTTTTGTATGTCAAAATTGTGAAAGCCCTCATAGAACAAAGATCAGTTTCACAATATGAATGCGGCATACACATACTTCAGCCTCAAGGCTAAAGTATTCAATGCAGTTAGGTAACTGCATACATGTACCTCTGCAGCGCAGGCATGCTGTGTTAGCAAATAGTACAGCACTTGTGCCTTGAATGCTAACATCTGCACTGTGTTTAGTTTAGCAAATAAAAGGATAAAACTTAAAAGCCTTGATGGCAAATATTTGCCATATTCATTCGTGCTAGTCAGGCATACTTTTCTCATAAGAAGACTGATATTTCCTTCTGCAGTAATTTACAGTTGAAGGTATGGCTCTCTTCTGGGACCTCCCTACACTTTCATGTGGAGCATGAAAACATCAGCAACACTGGCTGCGGACTTTACACTGATTAAATCGAAAACTCAGTGAAAAGAGGAAGCGGGGGTGGAGGAGGGCTGCACAATGGCTTGCAGAGGTAGCAACAACTGTAAGAAGGCTAACACGAGTGAAGTATGAGATTTGGGAGCAGGATGCACAAAACTGGATCGGCTGAGGCATTAGCTAGGCTGAGCTGATACACTGGGACCGTGGGCGAAGCTTGACCTCCCTGAACTAAGCTCAGTTTAAGGTTACATTGATAAAGATCAGCTTGGCTCATTAGTCTCAGTGTTGTAGTCTATTTTCAGTGATGTTGCAGGGCAGATTTTATGTTAGTCGTTTCATCTTTTTGTTGGTTAAAGTGATTTCTTTGTATCTAAAATGTACCAAATCAAGCAACCAGTGCCTTCTCCATCCTGATGCTGCACTTAAGTTCAGCATCTAAGTTATAAAGCATGTTGCTACTGTATCACCAAGACATTCCTAAAGGTTTGTAGTACTTTTCCTTGCAAAAGAGTAGCAGTTTTGTCTTTGTGTATATCCTATTGTAACTCTAATGGCAGGGACAGTGTGTTTGTACCTGTTTAAAATTTCCTCCAGTACCTAAAGGTCACAGATTATGTAATGTGCAGGCTGAAGAGTAACAAACCTCAGCTTTTATTTTGCTTCCCCAAGCAAACCAAAGGTTAGTTCCTCTTTGGAAAGTAATAAACCTTGTTTGCGTCAAAGTACATTAGATGGAATGTAAAGAAAAAAAAACATCTTCTAAGAGGGCAGAAAACAAATGTTTTAAATATTACCTTTCTTCTAAAGACACATATTTATAGTGTGCTGTTTAAGATAAAAACAAACTACCGACAAATAATGAAGCTGAAAAGCTGCTTCATGAGCCAACTAAAATTTTTAGAACGAAATTACTCTTAGCAGTGGAAGCAAATGAGGACAGTTTCCATAGCAACCTCATAGCAATATAACAGTGACCTCAAAGGGGTTGATGGTGATAAAAGCACAGATAATTCTGTGTGATTTTTAATTTAAATTGGAGTGATCTCTTCACCTTATACCATATGTTGCAGTCTCATACACTCACCAAAATGAATTATGCATGCACACGTATTCTGTGCTCTGCACTGTGGATTCAACTACTGAAATACAGCTTCACTCTCTGTTACACACACCTACTGCCAAAAACGTCTCTCTCTCTCTCTCTCTCTCACACACACACACACACACACACACACACACACACACACACACACACACACACACACACTCACACACAGCGGATCGGAGAAAAATGCCTCAGAGGGAAACCTTGAACGCTGCTGTGCATGAAAAGACTTTGCAACTCCCCAACGATGCAGCACCAAAAATATTCTTAAAGCTAACACACATATTAACATCCTAATTAAAAAGCAAATATATAAATTCCAAGTCAAACTTGTGGAACAATTTACCCAAACTCTAAAGCCAAGCTGTTTATGACCCCTACTTTTATGCTGTTTACAGAAGAACAAACCAAAATGGAAATTTTTAAGCGTGGGAGTCTATTTAATGTTTCATTATCACTCTTGTCAAACATCTTCATGGCCTTTGGTCAAGTGTGGTTTGAGTGGAAATTTCCACCTAGAGACTGGCTGCCTACCAGTAATCTGGGGCCCACTACCTTGACAACATGAACAGCGCCTCCACTGAAGAAGTCAAGACGGACCTCTGCTGTTCAGTACACGATACTGCAACTACCCTCTCATAATTATACTACTACTACTACTACTACTAATTTTTTTTTTTTTTACTCTGAAAAATGTCGATGGCCCTCATGTGTTAAAAAAATTACCAGAACTTATAAAACACATTCGATTCAGTTTTTATAACAAAATTATTTTACTGACAGCGATCAGATAATCTATGTGATACTCTTTTACAGTTTTCATACAGAGTAATTGTCCAAGTAACACCTGAAAAAAAATTCTTGTCTACAGATTTTCTAATAGTGTTCCCTTCCTTATCCCAGTTTAATGTTAGCACCAAAAACATTACACCTTGTATACGTTAAAGAAATAATGTTTCTGATCATCGAGTTGGTGCTAAATTACGAGTCTCTTAGTTTGGCCTGGTGTACATGGATCTAAGTAATACACAGATTCAACTCTATCTCCCTTTTTTAATGTGTTGTAAATAATTACCTCATTTTTCATGTGTAACTGAGTCAGAGCAGGAGCTATTTGTAATGTTCACTGCGTCTGGAGAACACAGAGATTTCAAAATCAAAGTATTCCTGGAGAAAGATGCGAAATTCTGTGATATGCAACCAACTGATAGATAGCTAGGAATAGTGCTTGTTATCTCAAGTTTTGCTATTTAAAGTATATAAATTATCTCTCACTTTTTATCTCTGTCCAACTTTTTTTTTTAATTAAACCTTTATGTTCAGATGACGTGTTATTTCTTATATCTTGCTTGGCTGTAGGTGCTTATTTTGTCAGCACTATGATGCTACATTTTCACCTGCAGAAATGTATAACACGGAAAAATCACTGACAAGATGTAACCCAGTAAAGAATTGTTGTGTTATTTGAGAATGACGAGTACTTTCTCCATTTGGTTCTCCAAGGACTAACTGTCAAGGAAAGTTTTTAGAAATGTACAGTCAAAGAAATCTCAACAGTCACATGACCCCCTATGAGCAAGCACTCTGTGACATTGGGAAGGAAAACTCCCCTTTAACAGGAAGAAACCACCAGCAGAACCAGGCTCGGGGAGGAGCAGCCATCTGCCGTGACCGACGTAATTGCTTCATAATGTAACATATTTGGACTTTGAGTCTGGGAGCCAAACTCTACTGTATTCTGCTGCTGTAATAAAGTATTTCAAGCGTGATTTTTCTGACTAAATAATAACCTACTTAAGTTGATAATTTGGTCCTGATCTGCACTCTGGTGGAAACACTGGTTAATTTTGTACACACTCAAAAGTTGTCCTAGATTCTTGTATACATGCATCATAAGCATGCATAAATGTGGTTCACATCACACATGCACAATGATTGACAGCGTGGTTTACTATTTCAAATCATCTGTTTTTAATAATAAAAGATTTAACCTGTGAATAAAATCATTTCAGTCATGAGCAGTGTTGGTCAAGTTACTTGAAAAAAGTAATCAGTAACTAATTACTGATTACTTCCCCAAAAAAGTAATCCCGTTACTTTACTGGTTACTTATTTTCAAAAGTAATTAATTACTTAGTTACTTAGTTACTTTTTAGAAACACGATTTACAACCTGAATAGGTGATAAAGCGATAGCTCTTTCAGCCCAATTCTACTTTTTCTACATAATCCATCAATATGTAAACAAAAGAAAATGTAATCA